AGGCAGGAGGATTGTTAGTTCAAAGCCAGTATCAACAACTTATCCAAGCCCTAAGCCACTCAGCAAGACCCTGTCTCTAAATAAAATATTAAAAAGGGCTGGGGATGTAGTCAGTGTTTAAGTACCTTGGGTTCAATTCCCAGTACCCAAAACAAAACAAAACAAAACAAAAAAACTGCTCTACTAAGGGCAATTATCTCTTTTGCTGCATATCAAACCAAAAGTCTTGTGCATGCTAGGCAAGCACTCTATGACTGAGCTACATTCTCAGCCTAATGGCTTTTTATGTATGTATTTATTTATTTTTTACATGGGGATCTAACCCAGGGCCTCTTTCATACTAAGCAAGTGCTCTAGCACTGAAGTATACTCCAAGCAAGGGCAATTAAGGAAGAAGAGAAGTTTCACTTTGTACGTGTCAGTGTTACTTGAAACTTGTATGTGTTTGTTTTACAATTAAATTTTTAAAAAGTTAGGGCCAGGGTATAACAGTGGTAGACTGCTTGCCTAGCATGCACAAGGCCCTTGGTTCCATCCCCAGCTCTTCCGGGATTGGGGGGGAGGAGTTGTAAGACCAGTAAAGGTGAGGTTTATACTATGTAGCAATACAAAACAGTCTTTTCTATATCCAGCTTTCTTTTTTCTTTCTTTCCTTTCTTTCTTTCCAGTTCTGGGGATTAAACTCAAAGGTGTTCTTCAACTGACCTACATTCCCAACACTTTTTAATTTATTTAATTTCATTTATTAACTTATTTATGTGGTGCTGGGGATTGAACCCAGGGCTTTGTACATGCAAGGCAAGCACTCTACAACTGAGCTTTCCCCACCCTTTTTAAAATATTTTTTTTTAGTTGCAGATGGACACAGTACCTTTATTTTATTTATTTATGTGGTACTGAGGCTTGAACCCAGTGCTACTGGGCCTGTTTCACAACATGCACAGGTTATCCTCAATTTGAAGGAAATGAAACTATGCAGTAACTACCATAATTTATACCATACCGTCTTGTGAGGCACCTACATAGCTGTCATCATTATGTCCATTTTATAGATGGGGCTCTTAAAACTAAAACATGGGGGCAAGAGAAAGTCAGCCTTTGGGCTTGTACTACCGGGGTGACATGGTGATGACCCAGGTTCACATACTGTGTATTGCAAAGATTCCTTTGGCAATCGGGCACAGGATGGCGCAATTCCCCGAAGATGAGTGGATCAAAGAGCATGACCATTTCTATGGCTCCTGAGAAACACTGACAAACAACTTTCCAAACGATTGCACTTAAGGGCCACAATTTTTTTTTTTTTTTGAAATCACACATAGTAAGTTTATTTCATAAACTGATATAAGACTCAATGAAAGACTTCAGCATTATTAATGTACATTTTATGAAAATTCCATTATATCACGATGGTATATACACTATTAAAATTTTATATACCTAAAAGTTTTTTTTTTTTAACAATGAATGACAGGCACCCTAAGCAAGTATGTAGTTCAAATTATTCATTTACTGAGCTTCATTCATTCATAATATAATAGTTGACAAAAAACTCACATCAGAGTGTCTGTTTTTGAAAAGATTGTTTGGTGAATTACTAACCATGCAGCATAAATTTTTTATTTATTATTGGTTCATTATACCCACATCTTACTTACATAGTAAGATAAGGGCCACGATTTTAATTTTTAAGGAAGGCGAAGCAGTGTGAAATTCTGGGAACTGGCCTCATTCGGCTCTTGGGTTTCCAAGCCTCAGGGCGCTTCTTCGGCACTGTAGGGGAGCACTGGGGTTTGGTAGGTCTCCTTCCGCCCACGCAAAATCCTGGAGGCGGGCCAGCGAGTTTTCTGGCACTCCGCGGCATCCGTCCACGACAGCCCCACGTGACCCAAACAGATTCGGGCACTTCCGCTTCCCTTCGCCTTTCTTCTTGTCGGTGTCCCCGGTGGGTCCCGAGCCGGGTGAGTGAACGAGCGCCCGATCGGTGGTAATCGGGCGCAGGGTTCCCTTGCGTTGACCTTTCCCACCCTCCTTCTTGCCACATCAGGTCCCCGCGGAAGCGGCGGCGGCGGCGGCGGCATGGCGGAGCTGACGGCTCTGGAGAGTCTCATCGAGATGGGCTTCCCCAGGGGACGCGCGTAAGGGAGCACCCAACCCCGGCCCGCCAGGCTGGGGGACCGCGGACCTGTCTGGACCTTTACCCCAGCCTAGTCCCGTCCTGGCGGTCACCATGGTCCGTAGGCGCTATTCACGGTGTTTCTGCCCGCAGGGAGAAGGCTCTGGCCCTCACAGGGAACCAGGGCATCGAGGCTGCGATGGACTGGTGAGCCTTCAGACTCGGTGGCGGAGGATTGGGGGCTGCTGGG